GTGGTTCACAGTGCTTTTGAAATAAAAAATAGAAAAGACAATATTTACAGTGTGGTTTGCAATATAAAAACTCTATATCTACAGTGTAATTCACGATGTGATGAGTCCATGTACATAGCACTTGCACATTTTTTTTCATGCATTTTAAAGCATATTATAATGTTTGCCTTATGCTTGCTTTTACCTGCCTTCAACCTCCTTACCTAGTCACTGAATTATAAAGTTATGTTTATGCTTTATTTTTATCTTTGTTTTATGGGTTTTTTCTATGATACCATAGTTTTTAAAACCAATTTGGTTTGGCAGGTTGACTCGAGACCTGGATGATCCAGAACCAAAATTAAGATGGGTTAACTATTTGTTTTTCTAAAAAAAAACGATGTCATTTTCATTTATATAAAAAAATAGAATCCATCTTGATCAAAACTTGTGACATAGACCACGAATCAAGTTAACCACCAAACAGGGTTTAAAGGTTTAAAAATCATGGTAGTCACAAATCTCCTTTTATGATCCTATTCTCTCATTAGTTTTATTTTTTTGTCGTGTCACTTGTTTAGATCACTTTTTTTAAGATTTGTACTTTTTTTAGTATTTACTATTTAATTTGTCCACACTCCACCGCTAGCCCAACTATGTTTTTAAAAATATAAAATAAAAGTTATTAAGAGCGTGAAGATTTTTTGGCAATGCTATAAACCCAGGTAAGATGATAAGTCTTTAACAGCTAGCTTGATTTAAATTGATTTATTTAATGGGTTTAAAGGAAATCCAAATGATCTTTTTTTTTAATTTTTAAAAATCAATATTGAACGATAAAATTAAAAAAATATATAAAAAATAAAAGAGAAATATAGCCATGTAAACTTTTGAAATTAGTAATCTAAGATATTAAATCAACAATACCATATATGGAAAAGTAGTTAAACTCAATTCTCAATAAATTTAATATTGAATGATGAATTATTACTATTATTATTCTTACTAATTTAACATAATCATTACAACTATCATCATTACTATTATTACAAACAAGTAATATCATAATTATTGCTAGTATTATTATCGTAATTACTGTTATTATTATCATTATCGTTATTATTATTGTTATTTATACTGTTGTTACGATTATTGTCACTAATACTATAATTAATAATATTATTATTTTTATTCTTATTATCGTCACTATCACTATTATTATCATTATCGCTATTATTATTATTATTATTACAACCATAATTATTATAATTATAATTATCTCCACTGAAGGGTAAAAAGGATAATCTTACTATATTAAATCAACAATAATAGTGTTCTTGTCCTGCCATTAGTTTTAGTTTTTGTCTCGTCACCTTATGTTTGTGTTTGCTTTTCAATTGTCCAAATAAAAACCATAGGGATGTTTTTATCAAAAATCAATACTACAGGGAGCTCTAGTGTCATGAGTTGAATCTAATAAAAAAAATGAATAAAACCAAGTTTTAATTGTTTAAATCTCCTTGTAAATTAAATAAAAAAATCATATGGATGTTTTCCATTTTTCAATAGGGTATTTGGTGAGTGCAGACAAAATTGAACTTTTTTTTGAAAAAAAAAAATTCAGAACATGCATTAGTGAGAAAATTTACATAACTTGTTGATTTTTTGTTAATTTTTTATGGATTATTCCCAAGAACTAATTTTTTGAATGTAGAAGAAAAAAACTTCTACAATAAATCTTGATTGAGTAAAAACATTATAAAAATATAAAAACTCTCTTTCAAGCTATATAATAAACACCTTTCAAGAAACAATTAGAGCCTTCCAAAGACTTTTCATGTGCTAAGTTTCGTGAATGTGGATGGAGATTAAAAAGAAAAGTAAGCAAAGCTTGCTTGCAAAATAAATAAAAATGAACATTAAAGAATATATATATATAGAAGATCTTGTTATTTATGGTATGTACAGGAAAGTGAACAAGCTAGTATTCCACAATGTTGTATTGATCCGTGTGCGTGCGTGGGGAGTTTGAATTTAATATCATAACATAAATTTAAATGTACAAATGCTTTATAATTTTCAACGATGCTATATAGTCCTGGCATGGTATTCAAGATCATGAGATGTTGACATGATTTTCAAGGTTGTTATTGTGAGATATCTTAGCATAATCTTTATGACTGTGAGGTATCTTAGAATGATCTTCATAATTGACTTGCCTAACACGAAGATAATAAATAGTTTTTAATAAAGAAATAATAATGTCACTTCTTGTAATAAAAGTCAAATAAATTTTGTTGCTTAAGTGTTTTATTCCAAATAACTTTTTTCGTGAAATATGATGATATCATGTATCATAAGATTGCATTAATTCTCATTATCATGAAAAAAATATGTGGATCTATTTTAGAAAAAAATAACAATATAATGAGTGATTTTTTAATCTATCTTTATATATCTAATTTTATAAATTAATTCCTTAATAAAAGATATTTCTCTAATATATAATTTTATTTATTTTTTTTTATCAAAAAAAGGTGTTTGAAAATGTCATAATAGTTATTTTTTGAAATGCATCAAAATAATATTATTTTTTATTTTTAAAAATTATTTTTGATACCAGTATATCAAAATAATTAAAAAATATCAAAAAATATTAATTTAAAAAAATAAAAAAAATCAATTTTTTTAAAATACTTATGTAAAATATGAAGCAAGTTAAATAACTTTTTTTTAGTAAAATATGATGACATCATGTATCATAAGATTGCATTAATTCTCATTATCATGAAAAAAATATGTGGATCTATTTTAGAAAAAAATAACAATATAATGAGTGATTTTTTAATCTATCTTTATATATCTAATTTTATAAATTAATTTTTAATATGTTATTTAATTTATTTATTTTCATTAAAATAAGAAATGTTTGAGAATATTATAGTAGTTGCTTTTAAAATTATTTTTTGTTTTGAAATATATCAAAATAATATTATTTTTATTTTTTTAAAATTATTATTAATACCAGCACATAAAAAATTAAAAAATATCAAAAAATACTAATTTTTTTAAAAAAATATTTTTAAAATATAAAAATAAACAAAAAAATAGCTTACACGTTCTTATATTTTAAAAACTATGTTCAATAAGTCCTTGCATGTATAATTGTTTCAATTATGCCTTGTTTTCTAGCTAATATATCGAAGGGAGGGTAGTTCATGTAAAAAATAAAATTATAAATCACGAGCAATTCACCTGGGAAATCTTCAATTAATTTTTATTTTTTTATCATATCCCCTTGGATACCATACCCAACACATTCGTATATGATACGTGTCCAATACAGATACGGACACAATTTTGGAGTATACATGCTTTTTGAATAGAAACAATGGCGCTATCATCATCTTTTTTCTGTTTTCATCAGAGCCATGATTTTATGTATGCACGATTTACACAGCTTTTTCTTTAACGATATCCGTATGATCTAAATCAATGCAAGGACCCCACCTGACATAACTTGCGCTCTACGCGAGTGCCCATGTAGCGGCAGAGCACAGAAGCATTACCAGAAAGGTAGTAATGGATAGTATAGTGTTTTTTTAAATGTTTTATATTTAAAAATATATTAAAATAATATTTTTTTTTAATTTTTAAAATTTATTTTTTTATATTACCCTATTAAAAAATTCTAAAAAACATATAAAAAAATAATTTTTTTATAAAACATTGTTTATCCTAGTTTTCAAATTACATCAAAAGCTTAAAAAAATTATGAGATCTAAAAACATATTTTTTATCAGTTTAAAGATTTTTTTTTGTATATTAATTTTTTATTTATTATTTTTATAGTTTCAAATCATATTTTTTTGATATTTTTAAATTATTTTAATATATTAATATTAAAAATAACCTATTAAAAATAAAAAAAAAATATTATTCTAATATATTTATAAATAAAAACATATTTGAAAAAATAATCATAACCAATAACCATCATCCAATAACCTAGTCACATCACTTAACTGACAGCCCACAAATTGCGCGTGTGCCTGGGCTGTTTTTCTTCACCGTTCACACGACAACCTGGTCGACACATATCCAGTCAACCGGCGCCGTAATTGCGTTCCAAACCTGGAAGCCCATCAATTACCGAACTGTTCTCCAACCCGAGGCTAACTCCAAACCTATGAAAATAAAAATATCGCTTGGGACCAACTAAGCTGGCTGGAATCTTCTTATATTTTAATAACAAGCTTCTTGCTCCCTGTTTGCCCGGTTCAGTCCTGTACTTCTTCTATATTCAGTCTAAGCCCCCGTGTTTTTAACTATACCTATTACACTTTTAAACAATATCTAATTTTCCAATATACTTTTCTCAAGCTTTTTCTATCCATATTAATATAATTGTATTCCTTATTTTTAATATTTTCTTGAGACATACAAGAATATAATTTTATTTTTTCATAAAAATAATGATTTTTTTATATTTTAAAACTCAATGGCAGAGTAATTTTGAAATTTTTATTTCTAAAATATTTTGAGATTTTTTTATATAATATTTAAGGGAAATATTGAAATAAAAGTATAACCTTTTCAATTAGACAAAAAAACATTTTCTAATTAATAAACAAGAGATATTCACTAAACTAAGGACAAATTCAAGTTAATTGGCTAATTAGTTTTGAAACTTTTTATTTTTTTCAAATAAGGGTATAATAGATATAATTAAAAATAAAAGTAAATGTTACATACTCAATAAATTATAAAAGGAAAAATTCAAGTTAATTGACTGATTAATTTTAATTTTTTTTAAATATAATTTTTCAAGGGAAGTTTTGGAATAAAATTATAATTTTTTCAATTTAGATTAAAAACAAATTGATTAAATAAGGACATAATATATACAATTAAAAATATAGGGATATACTAGATACTCACCAAATAATATAAGGACAAATTCCAGCTAACTACCCTCTAACTTTATTATGCAGAGAATTTCACTAGACCAAGCCGGTCTGCTTCAGTTGCACTCAAAAAAGAAAATCCAGGCACCGATTTTTTCTCTCTAGTGATTGAGGTTTTTTTGTTTTTGGTTAATTTTGCTTTGAATTTAAGGATTTTCGTGCAGAGATCTTGTGAGATGGTTCTTGTAGCTGTTCAAATTTTGAGCTCAAGGAAGTGTGGATTAGGTCTGTTTAGTTGCTAGCAAAACTCGGTGCAGAATCTCCAGGTTCTTCTCTATGTGTCTCGCTAGGTTTTGTGTTTGCGTAGTCTTTAGTTTAATCTATTTTTTCTGTTTTAGGAAATTAAGGCAAAAATTATGTGTCAAGCTTCGTTTTTTCCTGTAACAAGTTGTGATGCATTGGATTTTAAGCAACGGTTCTATTCTTGCAGAAAGGAGTAGTGATCGGTTGTTTTATTGAAGAGACATGGCGCAGCAGAGTAATTGGGAAGCAGATAAGATGTATGTGATGGTTTATAAGTATTTGTTTTTTGTTTTTGCTGATATCTGTTATTTTGTTGGTATAGGCTTGATGTATATATTCATGATTATTTGCTGAAGAGAAAATTGCATAATTCTGCGAAAGCTTTTATGGCGGAAGGGAAGGTTGCCACTGATCCAGTAGGTAATGTTGTTTAGCTAATTAATTGCACTAATTTTAACAAATTGTTGATACCTTATATACCCTCAAAGAACAATATGCTGTTTTGTTGTTGACTGATTCTTATTTTGTTTTTAAAATGCAAAAATTGCACTGCGCGGTATGTGCTATGGCTGTTGCATTTGCGTAATTTATCTTGCTCTGCCGGTTGTTTGAACTTCTTGTAACTTGAAGCGGACTGAGCGGTATGCTTAAATAGAAGTTGTAAAAGGTATTTGATTGTTTTTTTCTTTTGTAGCAATTGATGCACCTGGAGGATTTCTGTTTGAATGGTGGTCTGTTTTCTGGGATATTTTTATAGCAAGGACCAATGAAAAACATTCTGATGCTGCTGCGGCATATATAGAGGTGCCTTCATGTTGTTCACGTTAGAGTAATTTGAATGGTTTTTTTTCTAAGGGTGGGGAAGATATAACAACTAACCTGAATATAACTTTCCATCAAAAACAGGCACAACAAAGTAAGACAAGGGAGCAACAACAGATGCAAATGCAGCAATTGCAACTTATGCAGCATCGCAATGCTCAGATGCAGCGAAGGGATCCTAGTCATCCAGCTCTTTCTAGTTCTCTAAATGCTATGAACCCTGAAGGGATGATGGGGCAGCCATCAGCCAGTGTATTGGCTATGAAAATGTATGAAGAACGTATGAAACACCCTCACTCTATGGACTCTGAGACATCACCAGCTCTAATTGATGCCAATAGGCTGTCCCTGCTTAAATCACCAACTGTTCAACAAGGGTGAATGTCCTATTTTTAAATACAAATTTCATCTCTAATTTTACAATCACTCGACAAGGTTCAGTTGGGTAATGAATTTCTCTTGTCCTCGCTGATTCAGCCAGCTAGCACAGGGTAATTCTGGGAACATGTCGGCTTTGCAGCAAATCCAGGCTCGAACTCCACTGATAACTGTAATTAATTGGACCAGACCCTTCACTTACATTTTTGCTACTCAAATTTCATGTTCCTTTCAAGTATTTCCATTCTCCCATGCATTACCAGTTAACATGTTGAATTTTCAGGACATCAAAAGTGAGATTAATTTGGGCCCAACTCAGAAAAGTTTGCCTATGGATCCCTCATCGATCTGTGGACAAGCAATTTTGCAATCAAAGTCTGGTCTAGGTGGAGCAGGTAATTTCAAGAGATTTTCATATAAAACGTTTGTCCTTGTTATTGCAAGTACAATTCAGGTTTGCATTCATGTTTTTTTCTTTTGCCAATTATCTTTCATCTCATCATATTGTAAGCTTCTGGGGCATGGTGGAGTGAACTTAAGACCTATATGGCTAGAAATTGAAGATGCTTCACAACATGCCTAATTTGAAATGTCCCGGATCTCTAGAAACATTGGATGTAGAAGCTTAAATGTTTAATTTATTTGTTTTAATATTTTTTTTAACACATGAAATATCATACCTTCCTTCAGGTGTGCAAGCTTGGTAAAACTATTATTGTGTGTCCCCTTGTGGGCCTAGATTAAATAATGCTTACCAGTTTGGCAAATAGATGGGAGCGGATCACACCTGCTGTGCTATCATAGCACCCCACCCCACACTTATAAGGGTCATCCAAAACTTTAGATGAAATAACTATTGAGCAAACTGGAAAGATTGCTATTGCAGTACTTAAAATGATTACCGTTACTTCCTTTACTCAGGACTAAATCAAGGTGTCACTGGTCTTCCTCCGTTGAAGGGCTGGCCACTAACTGTAAGTTTTCTTTTGTTTTCCCGTGCTGGATATTCAATTCATCCTTTTATTTGTGTATGTATTTCTGGGTCCTGAAACTTATAGCACACCAAATCCTACAGGGAATCGAGCATTTACGGCCAAGTTTGGGTGGACAAATGCAGAAGCCTAATCTGCAGACTCAAAATCAGTTTCTTTTGGCTTCACAACAACAGCAGGTCATGACACAGGCTCAAGCACAAGGCAACCTTGGAAATTCAGCTAACTATGGCGACTTGGATCCACGAAGGCTAAATCAGTTGCCTAGGAGTAGCTTGAATGCAAAAGATGGCCAATCCACGAGAAATGATGGGTCTATATGTTCTCCAGTTCAATCAAGTTCACCAAAGGTTTGACTGTCTTCTAAGATGAGGAGACTGTCCAACAAAAATAATCCTTCTCCAGATGTTAAATATATCAAATAAAACTCAGCCATTGAATGTTTATCCTGCTTTATTTTAGAAGATGATACTTTTGAAACTTATGAAAACATGGTTTTGATATTCTGAGGTCTCAAAAGGGAGGTCTCTCTCTTTGAGTGCTTTGGAAAGGAGTTTGCACAATATCTGGACTCTTTCCTAATAGAAGTTCATGAAAGTAACATCACCACTGTTCTCTCTCTTTGAGTGCTTTGGAAAGGAGTTTGCACAATATCTGGACTCTTTCCTAATAGAAGTTCATGAAAGTAACATCACCACTGTTTGACTGTGGAACTGTATGCAAAAAATGCGTTTCTATTGATATTTTGTGTATAATCGTGCCAGCATAGTGAGTCTGAGTCTTACAAAGATGTCCTTTTGAATTTCCGCTCCATTTCAATGTATCCTAAAATATTTTATATAACTGTAGTTTAGCATCGACCCTCACAACCCTTTTCCCTAACAACAGTGATTCAAGACTCATTAATCTCCTGTCAGTCCTAGATACCTTCCTATTGTCTCTTGTCCTAACAACAGTGATTCAAGACTTGTTAATCTTCTGTCATTTCTAAATACCTTACTATTGTGTATTTGCTGGTGTTCTGACAGATGAAGATGACCCAGATGCAGCACCCTTCATCTCAACAGCAGGAGCAATTGCAGCAGCAGCAGGTTGTAGTCGTTCAGAATTAGTTACAAAGCTCCCTGTATCATCAAATTTATAACTATAAGTGCTATTTATAACTGTGCAATACCTCCTTCAATTATATGGCTTTTCTAACCATTGAAGTTTGTATTATCTTATTTATAGTCTAATTGCTGGCTGCAGACTAACAGGAAAAGGAAGCAACACTCCTCTTCTGGACCTGCTAACAGCACCTGTACAGGAAATACCGTGGGTCCATCACCCAACTCTCCTCCATCAACTCATACCCCTGGTGATGGAATGCCAACAACCAGTAATTTTCAGCATGCTAAAAGTGTGCCAAAAAGCTTGATGATGTATGGTCCAGAGGGGACAGGAAGTCTTGCATCATCTTCCAATATACTGGTATATATTTTTACATTTCACAGCTAATAATTAGGGAAATATGCAGCAGACGCTTATTCAGCACTGGTATCTTCATTATGAGCTCAAAGTTTCTACTATTTTAACAATGAATGAGATGCCTGATAGCTGTGTAGTGTGTCAACATTATTTACTGGTAGGTTTACAATGGTGGCAATGAGGGCACCTACCAAAATTCAGGGCAGGCTTACATGTAAGAGAACTTTTTTTTATATTTTTTTTGGGGGTGAAAAGGAAGGATTGCAAGAGAAGATTGCCCCCCAAAGTTTTTTTTCAAGAAAATTCATAACAGCCCTTGATAGTCCTAGGACTTTCCCCTTTTTTCTTGTCATGGATCCCTCCTTGTCATATGTTGTAAGGAATAGCTTTGTTTAGAATAATTATTTATGAAATAATCATTTAAATGGAATATTTTGTGTTTTTCAATTCAGTTTTGTAATGATAACTTTGTTTAAATCCAGTAATACATATTAGGGTAACACTATTTTGTGTAAAAATGCCTATTGAAATAGTGTTTTATTTTTGCGCCCCTTAACCAAGAACCCTAGCTCCGCCCTGCCCACACTGCCTCTGTCAATCCCCTAACAAAGTAATGGAAGTAAAAGTCTAAATTTGGAAGTCTATCCCAATTAACATGCCTTGTCCTTGCTGTACTCTACTCCGAATTTGTTGTCCACAAACTCCTTGAAATGGAGTGGGGTTAACCAATTTATGAAACTAGCCTTGGTACATTCCTTGAAATGCGAGTGGGGTTAGCCAATTTATGAAACTAGCCTTAGTACATTCAATGGGAGCCATAATTAACCATTAATTAGGTGTTGTCTCTCATGATAAAAAAGAAAAAAGGAGATCACCCTAATGGTAAGCAAAAATATATCTAAATCTGACTACTACCATAGTAAGTTAAATTTGTAAATCATGGAATTATTAACTGAAACATAAAAAAATAGCTTTAATCATTACTTGAGAGATAGATGCTTTTTTTCCCAGTAAATGACATCTTCAATTTTTTTTCATCGTTATTTCTTTCTTTTATGTTTTCTTAGTAAATAGGAGGACAAATACCGTTCACATGTTTTCATTGTAAAAGCATGTCCACTCTCAACTCTCAAGCGTGTGAGAGAGAGGGAGAGAGAGAAATTTTATCTAAACCCAATTTTATTTAGTTAAAATTAATAGCAATAAGGAATTATCTGATATTATAAGTAATTTTGATATTTAGTTCAGAATATATTTATAAAAGTATAAGATTTCACAAGGAATAATTAAATAGTAATCTGTGTGAAAGAAAAGTTAATGATTTTTGTGAGTTTCTTTATGTTATTTTCATTAATGTGAAATACTTATCAATTTTTATGACATAATTTTCCTTTACATGAAATCACTGTATTGAATTTGACTCCTCTGAAAATAAATTCTGGATCAAAATGGCACTGTTAGATTTAGTTTACAGTCAACGTAGTTGTTAAGAAACAGTACCCTTCAGTAATGTACACTGCCATGAATCTCAGGAGTTGTATAAACTAAAATGTGACAGTAATGTACACCACCATGAATCTCAGGAGTTGTATAAACTAAACTGTGATGATGCATTTGAGGAAGTCATTTCTTGGTGCAGGAAGACATGGATCGTTTTGGAGATATTGCTGCTCTAGATGATAGTATGGAACAGTTTCTTGCACCCGATGGAGATGGAAGGGACTTGTATGGAACAGTAAAGCAAAGTCTCAGTGAGAACCAAAAGGAGTCTTCTAAAGGTCGGCTGCTTATGGCATCTTTATGTCTTTCCTGAGTTGAGAACGACTGGTTTCTTATTTCATTGTTGGCCACTGTCTTCATTTCAGGTTTTACTTTTGGTGAGGTTGGCTGCATACGGACAAGAAATAGCAAGGTCACTTGCTGTCATTTTTCTTCAGATGGAAAGTTGCTGGCCAGTGCTGGACATGACAAGAAGGTATGGTGCATGTTACCGTTAATAATAAATCCATATTTGAGAAAGCTAATTACTGGATGATGTTCTATCCCGTTAGCATAAATATGGACATCTTTTCTTTATATTACCCAAAATAATGAATACTGAGATATGCTTACTTTGTGTTGCGCTAATCAGGTTGTCCTGTGGAACATGGATAACCTGCAAACAGAGAACACCACTGAAGAGCATAAATTAGTCATCACAGATGTTCGTTTTAGGCCAAATTCGTCTCAGTTGGCTACATCTTCATGTGATAAATCTGTGCGATTATGGGATGCAAACAATGTGAGTATCTTTTCCTCTTCTTGTGATTGGGATGTGCATCAAAGTCTGTAAGGTGCGGGGTGCAGCAATAATCTTTGTATTTCTGTGGTTTCCATGTCTTGTTGATTAAGCAATCTTAAAATATATCTTATTGTTGAAAATGGTTTATTCATTTGAGTTTTTGTTGCAGCCGAGCTATTGTTTGCATGAGTATACAGGGCATAGTTCACCTATCATGTCTCTGGACTTCCACCCCAAGAAAACTGATCTTTTCTGTTTTAGTGACTGTGACAACGAAATTCGATATTGGAACATCAATCCATTCGCAAGTGTTCGTGTCTCTAAGGTTCACTATATTTTTTAATGTTCTTTGCTAAGTATTTCTTTCTTTCATTGTTAAGCTGCACTTGATTCTCTTTCAGTATAACCTTCCTACTAATGATTGAAAACAAATAAAAAAAAAAACTTCCACTTAGGGAGGCAATGCACAAGTGAGATTTCAAGCTAGAGTTGGACATCTACTAGCTGCAGCATCAGATAAAGTGGTGACCATCTTTGATGTCGAAACTGATAGGCAGATTCACTCATTCCAGGTATCGCACATAAAGAAATATGCTATAGTTTGTAATTTAAATGTCTGCGCATTATTTTTCAAAAATAATTTCATTGTTCAAGTACATAATTATCCACTCCTCTTATTTCCAGGGGCATTCTGAAATGGTAAACTACATATGCTGGGATTCAACTGGAGATATTTTGGCTTCGGTTAGTCAGAACTTGGTGAAGATTTGGTCGATGGCCTCAAGGGAGTGCATTCAAGAGCTCAGTTCCAATGGGAACCGGTTTCATTCTTGTGTTTTCCATCCAAGTTACTCCACTCTCTTGGTTATTGGAGGAATCTCAGTAAGTCGCATTCCTTTATAGAATCATACTACAGACAATAATGGATGAACCTTTCTGATGACTGGCTGTTGATTTTATTGTAGATATCACCTGTCATTCCATGGTTAAGACATTGGTTCATGGTAGTAGTGATTTTAGTACACAAATAGATGGTGACAATTCTTGTTGATATTTCCGCTTCACACCAGCAAGGCTAATTTCAGGCCTTCTCTAAATGTTTCAGGAATGAGCCTGTAGTCCTTCCTCCTAACATGACATCTGAAACCAGTCCAGTGCTGAATATCTTTATAGCTAGGGTTTTCCTTGTTCATGAGATCAAACTTTATTTTTTCCAGCATCAGTATCTTTGCTACAATATCACTCACATTCCAAGCATAGCAATGAATTCAGCTTTTCTTGCTCCTATCTTTGCCAGATTTCTTGACATACTGAAATTGTTTTTTCAAATGTGGCTGCAGTCATTGGAGCTATGGAACATGGCCGAGAATAAGAGCATGACAATCCCGGGGCACGAGAACATAATCGCAGCCCTGGCACAGTCACCCGTCACTGGGATGGTTGCTTCTGCAAGCCATGACAGCACTGTCAAGTTATGGAAATAAATCCAGAATGTGGCCGCATGGTGATCAGTCGGTGCTGCTCTCACTTACATGTAGATCCTAAAGCTAGCAGTCACATGGTGGTTAGATCACTTGTATAATTTTTTTCTTTTCAACTGCTACACAGCATATAAGTGTTGCTTATAGGATGGTTTTTTTCATCGTTAAAAGTAATAGAGCACGAAGCAAGTAATTAAGCTAGTAAACCTAAGAAAATAGTTCTAGGAAAAAAAAATCCCGAGAAATGTTTTATTCATAGCTTAATGAATACATAAATAGGTAGCGCCTGAATATAAATGAAGGTTCTCGAGTTGTCAGCCAGGAATATAAAAAAAAAGGCAAGTTGCTATAAGCAAAATAATATACGTAAAGTGTTTATTTATTATTATTTTTTATCTTAAGATAGCGGTTCGTTATTATACCAGTGAGAGAAGATTCTTAGGTTTTCTCAGCCAAATAAAAAATGCAAGTTGCTAGAAGCAAAATAATATACGTAAAGTATTTATTTATTATTATTATTATTATTTTAAAATTCATGCTTCTGCACTGTCGTGTTTGTCGTATATTATGGTATTTACTGTTTTTAAAATATATTAAAATATTTTTTTATTTTTAATATTATCACATTAAAATAACTAAAATATTTTAAAAAGCATGTTAGATTATAAAAACAAACACTACCGAAGACCATCCATAACAGGAACGATAGATAGTACAGTTATCGTCGGAGACGAGAGTGGTAGTTTCCATAAATTGTCTGTCATGTTACGAGGTTGATAAACATAAACATACTTATAACACTTGATTATTTCACGTCTTATGTAGCGGGTAAGATTAGTTTTAGTATTGTCCACGTTTCTTTTAGCCAAAAATAAAATCAAATAAGTTGTGGGAATGATAATTTATTAAATCCGGTTAAGCGTATAAAGCGTATAAGATTAATAATCTTATAAAAAATGAATTTAATTCAAATAAAATTAAAAAAATTATTAAATTTAATTTTTTAATTAGCTTAATGTTAAATGGTGAAATTGAAAATGAAATTCAATTTACAAAATTAGTTGAGTCAACTTGAATTAACTTATCAAATATGGGGTTATAGATAATGATAATCTCATACAAAGTAAAGTAGAATAAATTATGAAACTTAATTCTCAATCAACTCAATATTAAAGTGTGAAATTAAACAAAAAAATATAAAAAACCAAAACAAATTGTAAAGTCTAATTTATGATCAACATAATATTGAATGATAAAACTTAAAAAAAAAAAAACTAAGTCAACTAGCCTAACTTACAATCTGCATAATAAGACTATGACAACTATAAATCTTAAATTTCAATCAATCTATTTTTTAAGAATTAAATTTGAAAAAAAATAACAAAGAAAATTGAACGGATTCGGGTTAACTTGCAAAACCTAAATTAGAAGACGCAAATAATTTGATAGAAAGCGATCTAAAAAAATTACAAAGTTTAATTTACAATTAACCTAATATTAAAATATAAAATTAAAAAAATATAATTAAAAATAATTCGAGTTAACATAATTAACATGTGAAATTCAACATCTAAGTCAGGAGATCATAATAACTATTTAGAAAGAAATTAAAACATATTGTGAAGCTCTATATCTAGTAAACTTAATGTTAGATAATAAATTTTTTTTAAAAAAAAGTTTAAATTTATTTTAAAAAAATCCTAACAAATTTTAAGTGCTAAAGTGAAAAGTTGTTTTGTTTTTTTTATTTATTATTATTATAGTAAAAAGTCAAGTTTTTTTCCCGTAAATGTTATTTTTAAAATTTTATATTAATTTTGTAATATGTTTTAATAAAATATTTTATGTAGTTTTCATATAAGATTATATATATATTTTTAATATTAGTGTTTCTTTTTTATTTAGCAATCTTATATAATATTTTTTTTTTACTCAATAACTTCTATATTTTTTTTCATAATTCATGTTATGAGATCAAGTATTTTAATATATATTTAACTTTTAATTTTTTAATTTGGTTTTTAATTAATATTAATAATTTTTTTATATTTATTGGTGCATATAATTTTCAATCTATTTAATTAATTAAATAAATTATATTTTTATTTACATTAAAAAAAATTTATATCGAAAATATATTGGGACCATGCACATTCATTTTTTCACACTAAACAGGCTTTTGATCCTATCAACAACAAAGTGAAGATTAACCGGAAAATTTTAATTGTATATATAAAATATTTTGTGATATTTTATTAATTATTTAATATGATTAACTTTAAAGAAATATATATAAAAATTATTAAAAATGATACGAATATTTTTATTTATGATTTTTTTATATTTATTTATTTAAAAAATAGATCTCATGGAATAATTAATAAAATATTATTAATTAATCTCTAAGTAGCATAAAATTTATTGAATTAATTAATTAGATTTTAAAATTAATTGTTAAAATTTTACTTATAAATGAAAAATGCTAGCAGTGCCTATGTTTTTTATGTTCAGTTTTTTTATTTATTTAACCCATAGCAGACAATTGTATATTTAATTCAACTTTATATAATACTAAATGCTATTGAAGGGATAGTTGCAGGTGGATCGACCAACCGCGCGAGTTCAAAATGAGTAAAGTAAAATAAAATAAAATTAATGCACGTATGTATTGTAATCATAGTTTGACAACCTAACCCGGTAATCGATCTAGTTAAATAACTGGGTTACGGATCAGATGAATTGATTCGGGTCAACCTAGAAAAAAAAACTATTTTTTCTTCCCATCCTTTTGATATGTCCCCAAACAACAGGGTTCTTATCCTCTTTTGAGTTCGATGCTCGATTTCTGCCTTGTTTCAGGACGAGGGCCCAAGAATGCTAGAGACGTAGTAGACATGCCCCTAGCAGAACGACCATGCCCGAAAACCACAGGTGGCGTGGAAGACTGGTACCCAAACAAAATTAGTCGAAAGTGAAAATAGAGAGTTCTAAAAAGAGAAAGTCAAGGGTGAGGAAGGAAAAGAGAAACTCTAGTATGGGATGACAAAACAGAGAGAGGAAAAATATGGAGAAACTTTTTGATCTGATATGAAAAAAGATTTAAACTTGAACGAATTCAAGAATTCCTCTATTTTGTAAGCTTTTTCTTATCTTTTTCTTCTTTTTGATTGATTGTTTTCAATCACTGTATATTATATTATCAGATCACTTCTTGTTGCTGCTTAATAATGGCTTCACCTAGTAATCCAAAGCAGCAACAACAAGGAGGTGGGGGAATAATAGAGGGTGGCGGTTTTGATCTGAATAAATTGTTCAAGCCCTTTTCTTCAAATCGTATGAATATGATACAACCCTATATCCAACAAGAACAACAACATCAGCAAAATCATTCTTTATCTATCAACAATAACAACGATGTCGTTTCATTTATATATACATATAAAAGGCTGGGTCTCGGCTGGGTTTACCCAGGCCGATCGGGTTTCGCTGGGCTAACTTCCAGACAGATTTTTACTTAGACCCGGACCGGTCCCAAGCCCCAATTGGTCTCCGGGCCGATCCAGGTTTTAAAACTATGATTGAAATATAAAAGCCACGTAGCCAAGTCATGGCCATCCATCCCTTCGGGCAGTACAGCACCGAGCCACCCCGAGTATCTTTGTCCGCGGTTGGTGCGTGTAGTGGATCCCAAACCGAAAGAAATGGGAAGAGGTAAAGTGATTGACGACGCCGTCATGAATTTCGCAGTGACCGGAAAAGATCATCACTTCCTCGTCGATGCTGATCTTGAGGACGAATTCTCCGATTCCTTTCGTTGTTCCGTTTGCCTGTAAGCTCTCTCTCTGTCTCCCGGATCTGGTTTTGTATAATCTGTGCTTACTGATACTTTCATGAGTTTTTCGGTGTACACATGGATAATAATAATTTATCTATTAGCCGTTTTCAATCCTTTTAAAACAAAATTTTCTTGCTGAATATATGTTAAGTATTAAAAAATTTCTTCAGCTATTGTTAGTGTTAGTTGTTTGTTTATAGAGTGATTAAGAACTAATTCTAATTTACTATTGGTTTGGTCTCAGGGATCTTCTATACAAACCCATTGTGCTCTGTAAGGCATTAATTTTTTTTAGCAAATATGTTATTATTTTGATTATTAAAATATGATCTAATTCTCTGGTTTTTTTTTTTTATTGTTTCATTGCAGGTTGCGGCCACATTTCCTGTTTCTGGTGTGTTCACAGATCTATGAATGGTCTGGGGGAGTCTACTTGTCCAATTTGCAGGCATCCATATAATCACTTTCCAACCATTTGTCAGATGCTGCACTTCTTGCTCTTCAAGTTGTATCCTATTGCGTATACGAGGAGGGAAGAGCAAACTCTAGGTCAGCATCTCCTTGTTTTTGGAGTGCTTTTTTTTTTTTTTTCACCTGCAAACTTTTTAAATTGCTTGGTGTGATAATGGAATGTAGAAACACAAGCTGAGAAAGACTCCTGCTCCTCTCGCGTTTTATTATTACTTTGACGAGATCAAGGTCTGATATTTGTTAGATTTTTGCCTTGTGATTGTACATTTTACAAATGTCATGGAAGGAGTCTGGAGCAATTCCATGCTAAGACTAAATCTATTGAAGAAAAAGGACATGTTGAAGATGCCAGCTTTGTTAATTGGCTGGTATAGTTAAAGTGCTATTGAACAGTAATTCATAAAATTACCCGAGTTTTGTTTTTATCTGAAGCATAGGATTCATTTGTGCAGTTTTTTTAATACTTCTTGTTAAATGGGCACTTGTTCTTAATTGTTGTCCAAAGGGGCAGCATTGATAAGCAGAAGCTGTGAAGTAATTTTTGACTAATATGAGAAATAGGATGGTCAATTTTTTTATTTTGAGAATTTAGATTGGCAGAAATGATACACACTTTTCCAGTGAAAAATACTCCAGAAAGACACTTGGGTGGAACCATTATATTGATTTGCTTGTAACCTTGCTTAAATCATTTTAATTAAACTATAGGTAAATATCTTCAGTGATATGAGAACCATCTTCTCCCACACACAGAATGACAGAACGCCAAAGCTTCTATTTTTTTTTTGTCATTAATCAATGAATTTTTGTGCTATTTTATAAAGATTCAAGATTTCCTTTCCTTTTCTTGCTTTTTAACTGTTTAAAATACAGGTGCATCCAATCACCACCCACATTATGTATCACTTAACTGATAATGCATTTAATGTTCAGAAGTTTTGTTAGGCTTGTTTTGAATCTAGTCTTATTATCATAATCTGGCCTGCAAAGCTCTC